GGGGTGTCATTAAATTGTGTTTTTATGTATTATACAAAAATACCTCATGAAGTTCAACTTCTCTTCAGATGCTTAAATATAATACCCATCCCCTGGGAAAGTCTAAACTGTTTGCATTTCATGGCATGGGCCTGGTTACTTGAGGAACTGCCTGTCTCCCATAGTATCTGCCCAGCCAATCCGATCTGGCAGGGTGGGGATACTTAGGGCACCTTCTCTGTAGCAGCACCTGCCTTCTGGAATGAGGTCCCCCTTGAATTTGAACAGCCCCTACTCTACTGGTATTTCAAAGGGGTCTGAAGAAATGGCTCTTCACCCAGGCATTTGGCGAGCGTGATTGAAGCCCCCTTTTCTTCATTTTCTTTGTTGCCATCTATGTTTGTTATCTCTGCCATCTTTGTTATTTTTTGTTTTGTGTTGTTTTCTTGTTTTAATGTTTTTAACAATTTGTAAACTGCTCAGAGTCACTGGGAGTTGGGTGGCATATAAATTAATAATAATAATAATAATAATAATAATAATAATAATACCAAATCCAGTCTAAACATCTGGCTGACTGTGCGACCAGCAATAATAATTTCATTATGTGTTTTTCCCAGATTTCTAATACATCCTTTTATGCATAGCTGATGCTATTTCAACCACATACGCATAGATTGTTGGAGAATGAGTTATCTACCAGTATAGTCCAATTCTTTCTAATAATTTAGAAAAAATTAAGGCACTCAGGATACAATACAAAGGGTACAATACTACCCAACAACCATGTGAAATAGGATTAGAATGATAACGCTAGTTCCAAAGTTGGCTTAATTAACTTTGTGGCTGCACAGAAGTATGAATATGCCTCTCCTATGATAACACTCACACAATACTGGTTATTTGTCCTGACTGTCCAGAACCAGACAGGAAGAACAGAATAAACGCAATAACACTGTGAAAAGTGTTGCTCTGTGTTTAGGAAGCTAGTTTTTCAATTTGGTTTACAGTAACAATTGATGCAGTAATTTGATATACAGTGGTACCTATCTTCCATGTTCTGTGTTATCATCACTTTG